TTATACCTGCTTAATGCAACAGATTCTGTCAATTTACTTAACCCAAAAAAGCCACGTATTTGCATTTACTGCAAGCCAGGGGCTGCTTTGGGAATGTGTGTAATGATTTTTTGAATTCTGATTTAGATCCTTTTATTATTCTCCCTTAGGTTAAAGTTGTTGGCTCTGTCCAGCAACTGATTTGGCTTGACTGATTTCTGCTCCTGTTACTTGCTTATCATCAAGCTATATTCACCTTCTTTGTTTACATGTTACAAGTTAGAGCTGTGCACATGGTGTTTTCTGCCATCCTCAGGATGTCAAATTCTGAAGCCTATAAATTTGTCCTCTGACTTTTAACACTTGCGCTAATTTACATGCAAGAGCAGAAATGCAATTTTAAACTGTCCAACATGTTTTTGTTAAGAATTTCCTGTATTGTAAGAAAAGAAAAAAAGAGAGAAAAAGGCTGCCTAAGAGAACTACTGTTTTTTGAATAATAAAACTGAATTAGCAGAATTGGATTTGGGATTTCAACTTTTATAAAGATGCTATGACAGGTGAATGAAAGTTATATTTTCTTTCTGATTTGGTCATGAGTCTCTGAGAAGTACCACAGCCATGCTTGTCGGGCAAGGTTGTAAATTGTTTTAGGCTTAACGTTTGCATGTTAGATATCTGCCTCTGTTGCCACACGACATCGCCCTCCCTCTACTTTATAGCCTCTTTTCTCTCTGGGTAGCAATGCTGCCAAAGGGATAGTGGTATGCTGATCAACTACGTAACACGACTGGTCAAGTCAACTCTCATAACAGCAAATGTACTTAGAATTATAAATCTCAATGTTGCCTTTGTTACTGATCCGAACTTAAGTCAAAACAAGAGATGATGCAAAAATTCTCAGCAACTTCTCCTAATTATGATAATATCAAGGTATATGAGGATAATATCAAGATACTGAGGATCTTAGGAAATAAAACTGTTCTGACACCAGGTCTCCCAAAAAGTTATAGTCTTGAAGAAGTTTCTTAAAAACACAATTTTTAAATTGTTGTAACAAACTAAGTAAATAATTAAATTTAAAAGTTATTAGAGAAAGACTACTGCTAAATCTCTGAGAAGGAACACCTGTATTTGTCATAGGAGTATATGCTTGAAGCATATCTGTTGTAGCTTAAAAAGAAATCTGTTCTACATTTTGATTATTTAAAATTAAGTTCTCTAGAATTCTTTGCTGAGGTACTAGGAAAGCAGCTATGCAGAACTCATTACTGAAGGATACAAAGACACGATGAAATTAAACCAGACATAGGTAACTCCCACCAGCTAAAGCCTATCATGTTAGCTACTCTTTCTCCCCATCTTTATCTCCTCCTCCTTTTTCTCTTAATCAATTCACATTTCATAAAAAAAAAGGTAACACCAGACAGAGACAAACAAAAAACCATTATGCCTTTAAGAATACTTCACACAACAGTTTTTAGTCCAACACTTCTGGTACTAGGCAAACAACTTCACAAAAAGGTACGACGAACCAGCTGAAGAAGATACTTAGAATCAGAACGATCTCAACTCTGCAGGAATTTCAGCCAAAGGTTGGCAACATCACTGTGGTCATATCTGCAGAGTTGGAGTCCCTCACACCTCTAGTAATTTCCTCCATTAAAAGTGTGGCTCTTCAATCCATTAGCTACAGCACACATGTAACCTGAAGCTCTACTTCAGCAAAAAACCCCACATTGGCCTACCTTTAAACATGTTAAAGCAGATCTATTTCATCTTAAATACAGGGTCCAAGTTCAAAAAAGAAAACAGGAGTGAATTATGTTTAGATCTGGTATGGTACAAATTGTATTACTGCCACTTGGAAAAAGATAACCCACATAAACAATTAGCCAATGAGGAGACACACTATATTAAGATTCATTTGAAGAACAATCAATTAGCAAGACGCCAGCAATACGTTCCAGATTTTGATTTCCTCTATGGTTAATCAATAATTAAGTATTGAACCACTTTAAAAGAAACAGTATCATATTTGTGCATCTCAACTTGCTCTGTGCTCTTAGAAGAGAGATGGCAACAGTTGAACTCTGAACCTCTTTACCACACTCTTCAAGTTGGGATCTGTTTAAGGGAAAGAAAAAAAAAAAAAGGCAAACCAAAAACCACAACACCAAAACCCACAACTTTGTTACCATTTTGAAGTCCAGAAACAAACTGTTTGGGTATTTGAGATTTTTTTTAGATATAAATAATTTGATAAAAATTGGCTTCAGAAGATGTTTGGTTTTTAGTCCCTCAAACTATATATGGATTAATAGGAAGTGTCGCACATGAATAAGTCATGCTACTCACTTTAACGAAAGTCAATATAATATACCTACTGTGGTCTACAAGGATTTACTGGAACTAGCATACAAAATATACTGGTCCAATTTTATCCCTATTACAACCACACTGAAATCAATTTAAGATATAATTTCAGTGAAGCAAAAACCAACCCCCTGCACAAGGCCCGAAGAGTACATACGAAACTTCAAGATCTGTCCATGCATATCTTGACTTACGCTCACTATATACACTTCTTCTGCCTACATGTCCTTATGTAGCATCAAATTTACAATGACATAATTTCAAAATCAGTGCCTACATGAATGCTCACTCCTTGTATTTTGATTTTCTTTGTAGGTATTAAGTAACATGATTATCTCAGTGGGAGCTGCAATGAAATGTTATCCATATCCTTCACCGCATGAAGTTTGCATATCTTCACCGTTATCTGATATTGGCCATAAGCTATCGTGTCAATGACTATACTATTCAAAATGATGCATCTCAAACTAATTGGTTTGCCTTTTGGGGTGCAAGAGTGGAGTGTAAGAAATAACTTCTTTGGTGAGAAAACACTCAAAACCCTCAAAGATTTATCTGAAAATAGAAAATAACAACCTTACTCCAAAACTGTATAAGCAAAATACAATCTAGAAATTAATACATATTTTGTTTACATTCATTAAGGGGAGCTATGCAATAGCCTGTCTATTACAACACTCATGAGTAATGCAGTTACCTTAAATAATAAAAACACAGTATTTTCACATATATACCATTGGTAAATCTAATGTACTACTGCAGGGTATTCACAATAAACGTCAATGAAATAAATACTTCATGGCAAGCAAAAAATATCTATGTTCCAAGTATTTTTTCTTTACATTGTTCAAATAAGCTATAGGAATAAAAATAACTGGATCAAATGAGAGGGAAACCCCCGGAAGAACACATATTCATACTAAACTGATTACAGAAGGAGCTTTTCACACCAATGCTGCAGGGTTATTGAAGATTACTATTGTGACAAAATACTGCCTTCATCCAAAAAACCAACAACAAACCCAACCCAAGCAAATACAAAATAAAGCTTTTGCACTTGTAATCTTCAAACAAGTTAAAGCCTATTTTCCCTATCCATGTTAATATTGTATGGTTTAAAATACAGATATCTGAACATGCTAATATTCAGCTATCAGAACAGGAGTTAGCTGTTGACAGATTATTCCCCCCCGCAATTAATCAACATTCATTTGATGACACTTATCAACATGTAGGTACATGTAGCAAAAACCTGTTAAAAAAGCTCGAGCTCAGATTTCTGTGCTTTCTGTGTTTTAGCCATCAGCTGTACTGAGATAAGGCACTGACCTTTCATCTTGATTCACAATGGGAGAATACTCTGCTTACAAGCTTACTACTGTGAAGCCCTGTTGTTAGTGTGAAGAATCACAGAAACATGTGTAAGAAGGCAGATAGCATTCAATACCTTTCTCAACATTTGAAATGGGATATTTCCAACAGTTCATCAGTTCTTGTCATTTCCCTGGAAGTGTAAACAACTCAAGTTTAATATTTCACTAACAGGGATAAAATACTCTGCAGGTTAGTGGGAAGGGAGGATAATACTCCATGAACTATTTGATAAAGGAGCTTTTCTCAGGTTTCATCTTTAAAGGACTCTACTATGCCATCTAGGATTTTCATGTAATAAAGGCAATTTATCATTGTAATGAGACGATTTCTATCCAAAGAGACTTAGGTGGCTGTACCACAAGAAATATTTTTTCTGTGCCTCTTGAAGTCAATGTGACTGTGATTGCAAACTCCTCACTAATGTAAAGAGGAGCAGATTGTTGCATTATGCAAACCCATGCACATTATTTTGCATCCCTGTAAATGCAGCTACTTCCCTGGTTTGATTGTACTGTACGCTGTAACAATGGGTTTCATCTAATAAGCTATTCAGAAAACTCTTACACAGTATGCAGGTCATCTCAACCCATTTCCTTGGTGTTAGAAGTAACATGAAAAATGCTTTCAAACATCATCTGAGATGGGAATACTTAGAAGCACCTTAAATTCTCATAAAATATTCACTAGACCTATCCACAGTATCAGTTCTATTGTGGTCCCAAACACACTTAGTCAAGTCATGTACTACTGCTGCAAGGATAGATGTCTTGAAAGAAATCTCCTCTACCCCACACAGATTGAATATTTTCTAAGTCCCATGCATGAAGAAGAAAAGAAGTGGGGGGAGGGGAGAAATCACTGCTAGAATTTTAAAAAAGCTATTTTCTTTTAGCAATTCTAGAACTACATTATAATCACCACCAGATAAATGCTCTAACCTCCATCTGCACCATCCCAATCTTTCTCCTCCTACATCAGTGCTGAATTAGCAGGAATAGAAGAATGAATAAGCTGAGAATATTCAAAAATATTTCCAGTTAGGAAGAGACTTGCATGTGTTTTGGGTACAGTACTGACATCCTCTTTACCTCAGATTTAGCCAGTCTGGGACCTCTGGGTAGCTCCTTTCTCTACCATTTGGGAAATGCCATGCCCAGTTACTGGAGCAACACTTTACTTCTGGAGCCTAAGCTGGTAGAGAGGTAGCCTGAGAGAATACCTAGACAGAGGTCTAGAAAGAAAAAAATGGGGGAAAATAGAAGCTGGCTTACGTGCTCCAGTTTGTCTTTCCTCCTCAGCCAGACACTGGCACTGTAGTCCTGCTGCTTGACAGTGCTGTAGAAGTTCGCACCTACTCTAGTGAGGCTTGGGGAAGGCTCCCTGGGTCTGCTCTTCAGCCTCATCTGCTCGAAACCCTCATGGGGGGATGAGGAGAGCCAGTCATGCCTGACTTCCATCTTGACATGACAAGGCAAAGTCCAAGGAAAAAAATCAGAAGAAACCAAGAAATTAAGAGGCACTAGACGAAGAGGGTCCAAAAAAGAACAGGCTGGGAGAAGAAAAAAGAGAAGAAAAGCAAAACCGCCCCCACCACAAAAAAAAAAAAAAACAAAAACCAAAAAATCCAAAAAACAACAGAAAACGGGAAGAGAAGGGGATGAGAAGGAGAAATAACAAGGTAGGAGGAGTGAAGGGAGAAGGGAAGGCTGCAGGTATGAGAGAGGAGCGGACTGAGAGAGACGAAAGGGCACTGGGGAAAGAAGATGCTCCAAGATGCCGCTGCTTGTCGCCCTCGCCGCCAGCAAGCTGCAGTCCAGGACCAGCGCAGCGGG